TGGACCCAAAAAAAAAAAAAAAAGAATCAAACACACAAGGACTTGTATGGGTTCCATTTGTCTGAAGTTCAAGAGGCAAAACTAAACCTATGGTAAAGTAAGTGAAATTAATTAATGGTTACCTGCTCTGAACAGGTGAAGTACAGAATGGAAAGATACAGAAGGAAATCTAGGGTGCTGAAAATATATATTGTCTTGGGTGGTACTGGTCACAGTGTATACAGATATTAAGCTTCTATGAAATATATACTAAAACTGTATAAACTTTCCTGTATGTTATATTATTTTTGTACTTTATAAATCATCATTTTCTGGAGGAGCTATTTTTTTTCTTTTTTTAAATTCCAAAAGGGTAGGATCTACTAAATCATTTAGTTTTCAGTTTCAACTAAAACAAGCAAACAAACAAAAAAACACCCACATGCTTAAGATTTCTGTTGTAAGATACAAGCTACAAAATAATGGAAACAAAAATATCACCACTCTTTAGCAGGAAAATAATGTCCAGAGTTGTCTGTATGGAATTGTCTTAAACTATCTGGACATTATATAATAAATATTATATATAGGCTCCGGAGATTCTTATGTGATATTTTTCAGAAATGCATTAGGAACACATTACAAATCATTATCTATTGTAAATGAAGAAAATAACTATGAATATTCAGTGACTTCCCCAAAAACTCCATAGTAAGAATGTGATGTAATTCAATTTAATGATTGAAATATAAATATGATACTGTCCAAAATTCTTTGTATTTAGCAGAACTTAAAGAAAGCCTTCTCACCTGGTGTTTGTTTCTCATCATGTTTCCCCAGATGGTCTTCTGGACTTCTTGCATTTGTTCCTGAAGAAAAGTACCCATTATTTGTAGACTCTCTTCACTGACTATCAAGCACCTTTCAGATAACCCCAAACGTTTAGAAATCAGAACATTATACCTTTTGCCTAAGAGTTATTCAAAAATGGAAAGTTGCTTCCTTTTCCTTCAGGTGATGACAGCCTAACACCTAGATGTACTGCTTCAAAAGACTCTCCCCATCAAGTTAAGGTGTTTAAATGCAGAACTATTAGGATAATCATCACCTATCAACTTCTCTATTCTATGTGTCTCAAGCTGGTTTCTGCAGTTCAGAAAGAAGGACTGGTTCCCTTACCATTATCATGGCCAGGCTTCTTGATCTTTCTAGCAAGGTACCAAGTAGAGAAAGTGTTTAAAAGCCTATGGAAATTCTAGTCTTGGAAATTCTTCTTAGAACCTTTGGAGGTCTCATAGGTTGTAAGTCACAAGAAGGCAACTTTTCAGCAATAAGTTGCTCGTTATTTCCTTTCTAACGTTTAAAAAAAGAAAGGAATAGCAAAGTTGTGCCTTGAAAGCATTTCCAAAAATATTTTAAAAACATGAATAAGCACTTGGGAGTAGTAAGACCATGTAGCTGTACACAGAGAAATTACAATGTTTGCAAATGACAATCTTTGAACATCTGCCAAACTATTCTTGCCCAATGGTTTAATGTATCTCTTGGGATACTTGCATTACCTGTAATGGGAATCAATTTCCAGTGTATTTCAGTCTCTTCAACATTACTTGACTTGGAGTGTTGTCTATGGAATCCATGTTCAATGGGAACAGTGGGACACAAACTGCACTCTTCAAAATTATTGACGTTAATTAAATTTGCATCCTAAAAATTAAAGTACATATTCAATAGCTTTATTTTCAAGTCATTAAAAAAAAACAGACAATTATTTTTCACAGGAAATTCCACCTTCAATTTAAGTATTACAAAAGACTAACAACAATATAATAACTATTTATTATATATCTAGTCTTTTATTTCCCCTTTCCAAACATTACTTTGATAATGAATTAAAGGAGTAACTACTCCTTTACTTATACTTTAAAGATATAGCACCAGACAAGAGGTAATTTAGGGCTTTGTAGGACTAAATTTTGTCATTGTAGGGTAAACGTAGTCACAAACAATACCAAAATGAATGGGCATAATTTATAGTTACAAAACAGATCGCAAGCTGTGGTCAGCTCACTTCTATCAACAATGTATTAAATATATTGGAAGGTATTAATAATATAGATTAGTATCCCAATGCCTACTATATATTTCTCATCATATAAGCCTCTCAATATTTCACCCCTAAAATAAACATCTCAAAATTACATGGAGAATGGCTCCATATATATATATATATATATATATGACTTTTATCCAAAATAGAATAATTTAGAAATAAGCCTTTAGGAAATACGGTGCCATCTAGTATTGTTCTCAATTGATGCAGACATTTCTTCAGGGACACAAGACTGTTTCTCAGCTAGAAATCAGTACTCTAAGCACACACCATAATTAAATTGGATTCCTATTTGCATGAGAAATACAAAGTACCTAACCTTATTTGTTACACTGGTGCACTGAGTTCAGTTGCTTCATCTGCTTCACCTCTGAGTTTTGTTACTGCTAGCAGAAAGTGGCCAAAGTTTTGAGGACTCAATTTTATTATGAAACAATATGAATTAACTCCCAATAGGCCATTTTTTTGACAAACATTGTCCAGCCTTACTTTCATCACAACAGGGAAACCTTAGACTACATATAAAGCCTATAAGCAGGAAGGAAAACAACTACTTCAGCATTTATCTCTTGGTAACAAGTTATAAGTACCCTCCAGGACAGACATCTTTACTTAGAAGTACTTCTTAATTCTTCAAAAACAAACAAACAAAAAAACCCAAAGCACACACCCTCCTACCCTCTCTCCCTCTCACATATAAACTTTCTAACAAAAGTAAACGAAGATAACCAAAAAACATGCTCACTTCTATCAAATGCAGCTTATGGCCAGTGCCTATTTCACCAGCAGAAATAGTAACAGGAAACTGTAAAGATGTGTCAGCTTCCAGCTGTGGACTCTGAGCATTCTTAAAATGTACATTTTCAATTTTTGTGCAATTTGACTGCACATAATCTTTCCTATCTGATGCACAGTTTAACTCATACTCATGTCTCAGTTCTTCTTCATAGGCATCATCAGTACTCAATCCTAAGGCTTTGTTCACTGTGTCTGTCAGAGATGCATCAGAATGGCGTGCATTTGCAAGTGTTTCTGAAAGCCAATTAAACAATGTTTTGACATTAGAATTATTGGAGTTAGAGGTATCTTGCTGTTGCAGTCTCCAGTCATCATCATGTCCAACTAAGGCAACAGGTTGTGGAGACTCTGAAACCAAAGAAAGAAAAGTTATTTCTTGAAGTGTGTAAGCCCCTGTATTTTATTATCAAATACACCTTTAAATTATTTTTCAACTGTATTTTTTATTGTTACAAGAAGCATCCCTCTTGGCCACACAGCCCCCCGTCTAATGGTTGGGAGTGGCTAGACAACATGGCCACATGTACTGCCTCAGCTCAGAAAGAATTAAAAAGCAGCAGATAACAGTTGCCATCCAGTCTTTATTCGTCCCTATTTAACTCTGTGTGTGTGTGTGTGTATGCATGTGTGTGTGTGTGTGTGTGTGAGAGAGAGAGAGAGAGAGACAAAGAGAGAGAGAGCTCCCATGCAGTCCCAACAGCTTTGTTTTTTGTTGTATCTACTTGGGAGATAAGAATCTCATGAACTTTACTGCCTAGACTGGCTTCCAACTATGATCCACAGCCATCAGCCCCTCAGTAGTTAGCATTACAAGTGTGAGCCACCGACATCTGTACCATCTACTTTTATAATAAATCCTTACTAAAAATTACTTTTAAAGCCTCCATTGCAGCCAGGTGCCAGTGGCTCATGCCTGTAATCCTAACTTCTCAGGAGGCTGAGAACTGAGGATTACAGTCCAAAGCCAGCCCAGGCAGAAACGTCCTGAGACTCATTTCTAAGTAACTACTCAAAAACTGGAAGTGGCCCTGTGGCTTAAAGTGGTAGAGTGCTAACCTTACGCAAATAAAAGCTCAGGGACAGTACCCAAACCCTGAGCTCGTCTCACTACTCCCATCCCACACCCCCCCCCCCCACACACACAAAAAGAGGGAAAAAATCCAATTATTAGTAGAAACTCAAATAAGGACATAGATTTTTACAAATAAACACAACCATGTACAAATATGGCTCTAAAATTTTACACAAAGGCTATAACTCTTCCTAAGTGAAAATTAGTATATATTTTAACCATTTCTTTAATAAGAAAAATGAATTCACACATGAAGTTGTAAATATAGATATAACATATATTAATAATTGTAACTGCGGCCAGGCATGGTGATAGACACCTGTAATCACAGCTCTCTATTCAGGAGTTGGTGAGACAGAAGGATCCCATTTCAAGGTTAGCAAAGTTAGCATGACAGCCTACTTGAAAAACAAATGAAGACATGAAAGAACTTGGAACACAGCTCAAATAGTACAGAGCTTGGCTTAGAAAGCCTGATTCCATGAATAAAGTCTTTGGTTAATAAAAGTTAGGGGGCTGGGAAGGTGGCTCAGTGGTAGAGTGCTTGCCTTGCATGCCTGAGGCCCTGGGTTCGATTCCTCAGCACCACATAAGGAAAAAGAAAAAAGCCAGAAGTGGCACTGTGGCTGAAGTGGTAGAGCGCTAGCCTTGAGCTGAAGAGCTGAGTGACAGCGCCCAGGCCCAGACAGAGTTCAGGCCCCACGATCGGACCCCCCCAAAATAAGTTAAAATTAAATTAGGGGCTGGGAAGTTGGCTCAGTGGTATAGTGCTTGCCTCGCATGCATGAGGTCCTGGGTTCGATTCCTCAATACCACGTTAGCAGAAAAAAGCCAGAAGTGACACTGTGGCTCAAGTGGTAGTGTGCTAGCCTTGAGCTGAAGAGCTGAGAGACAGCGCCTAGGCTCACAGTTCAGCCCCCATGACTGACAAAAAAATAAAATTAAAATTAAAATTAAAGTTCTAATAGTTACCTTCTTAAACTCTACTTCCAAATCACAATGAGAAATATTTCAACAAAGAAAAAAATATTTGCATTTATTATCTTGCCAATTGTTAGGAGATGCAAATTACATTTAAAATACTTAAATAGAAGATTTAATTTTACTGCTATTTCCTCAATATATCTTTATTTTGTCCAAAAGGCATGGACCAGACTCAAAATCTAAACCTTTGGCCAGATGTGGCAGCACACAGCTGTAATCCTGGCATTCCAGAAGTTAAGCAGGATTATCACAAGCTAAGCACTATCAACTCCTGCCTACTCAGATAAGAGGATCATGATTGAAAGGCAACCATAGACAGAAAAGTTCACAAAACCACATCCTGCAATAAACCACCAGAAAAACCATAAGTGGCACTGTGGCTCAAGAGGTAGAGTGCTTGCCTGGAGCTGAAGAGCCGAGGGATGGCACCCAGACCGAGTTCAAGCCCCATGGTGACCAACCAAAACAAAACAGAACAGAACAAAACAAAACAAAACAAAAGAATGCAAGAAAAAGTCATAAAATACATATTTCTACTGCTAATTCCTCTAAATAACTTGAGTGTTGCCCAAAACCTGATATAGAAAAAGACAAAATGCTGCTAAGTTTTTCATCTGAATAAATTCAGTAAAATGTAGTCATCTTTTAGTAATTAGATTTCAATATTCAAAGAACTTACAAGTAATTATAGTTCTAGGTTCTTGAAATAGAAACAGGG